AATTTGCCTTGCCAAGCTTTTTCTGACTGAGATGTAGAAGCCAAGTTTGAAACTGCAATTTGTTACACATTAAAATATCTCCTACTCAATTTGTTTGCAGCCACTTCAAAAGCACCAGATCAAGAAGGTTCAGTGAGGTTCATATTAGCAATATCCAGAATCCCAACATTGGTACAATTACAGATCAGATGCTACCAGGACCAAGCTTGATCCTTGACTATCAACAAGAAAGGCACTCCTGGTTGTAGGTATCTTGCCTCGGGTGTAGCTATAATACTGTATGGGTACACTTGTTGGGAGTGGTTTGCTTGATCTCAAATACTGCACTGGTCCTACCTTAGGCATCAAGCTGAATTAGCCTGTTGATGTGACACATCGAAGTGAAAACTGAAGTGTAAAGTTGATCGATGAAAGACTCAACTGTACACATTTAAGGTTCTTAACGCATACAAATGACTATTTCCCAGCTATAAATATGTTCACGCTAGGATCCTTGAACACAAAAATTACAAAGAATCGATCGATCAACTTATGCACAGGGAGCAAGATCATCAAGGGTATATTCGACAAGAAGAGTAGCTTCCTCTTCTGAAAGATTTTTGACAAGAGAGATAAGGTCGGAGGTAGTAAGTGATTGCCAATTTTTGTTTATCCATTTATAGGCTTCAACTCGTAGTTCTTCATGTTGCTTGAAAATTGGACTCTGGATTTCAGAAATTACATTGCCGACCTCGAGGGAGTCAATAATTTGTTTGTGACATATTGCTTTTAATTCAGGAATGTTCAATGCTTTGTTCCATCAAAACAATGGACATCAGGGATTTATCTTGAATCATGTTACAAAGCTAAGCAGATGAATTTTTGGTTTACTTACTATGGGCCAAACGATGCAAACTCTTTGGGCTTGAGAGCACTTTGAACCCGGGTACAACAGTGTGAGGGGTGCAGTGAGCTTCAGCCCACTCAGGCCAAGGGATAAGTTGTGGTGCTTGACTAGGTTCTAGTTGCTGTGATTGCTCATTTTTCGGTTCTTGTGATAGATGAGGTTTTAGTTGCTGTGATTGCTCATTTTTCGGTTCTTGTGATAGATGAGGTTTTAGTTGCTGTGATTGAACATTTTCTAATTTTGGTAATTGGCCGCTCTCTGGAGCCGGAACGGAAGGGTTTTCACAGTATTGTTGGTATGCAGACCTCAGCGGTGCGAAATGCAGAGCTCTGTAATTGAGACAAAACGATCAGATTCTTAGGTGTTCACAAGCACGATTCGATTGTGAAATTGTAATCTTAAACCTACCCGCAGATTGCATAATCGATGAATGCTTGATATGTCCGTCGACTACAATATCACAATGAGTATCGTACAAGATAAGCAAATTCATATAAGGAGGAAATTGCGTACGAGGTGCCATCGACATGGATAGTAGCTTTGAATCCACTGCTCTGTTGTCAAAGATCAGTCTCACTTCAAAAATCGATCAGAAAACTTGAATATTTGAACATAAGTACCTTGTCAGGTTCACTGTTGTCTGGTTCACTGTCCCATTCTTCATCAGAATCATTGCAGGGTAACTCTTCGGTAAGCATTTCAGCTTCGTCCCTTTTGCGCTTTGCTTTATCCAGACGTTGTGACTCAGAGTCTTCTGGCGAGTGACCTGGGTACGCCAACAATAAACCAGTCAGTCCAACTGGAAAGGCATTTAGCACGAAGTGATTTGAAGTGGAAAGCTTTGCACTGACATTTCTGAAAGTACTCGAATCGTGTGAGTATACGGCTTGGGACATACAGATGTTTAAAAGTTTCGCCATGTTTCGAACGAAAGACTAATCGAGTCATATCAATTGAGGGCTCTTGAAAAGTTTCGAGCAATGTGTTGCGTGTTTGCAGCATCGCTTTCTTCAGATCATCTAGCTCGCGTCGAGTTTTATCAAACGTTGCCAAAGATATCTCTTGACGTGACCACTTTATTTTGAAGTAGAGTACATCCTGTATTCACAAGTGGTGTGGAAAGAATCAGCCTTCCATCTTCACCTGCACACGCAATGCATACCTCAAGACCATGAGAGCCTTTGAACCTTCCTAATATGTCCTTCACGCTGCCCACAGTGATAGTTTTCCACTCGGCTGGGTCGCTGTATGGCGTGATAGTAGCGTGATTAATGATATGGATTTGGTCGTCGTACATGCCCAAGACAGTAAACTAGATGGGGCTCGCATTGCGTCAAAGTACCAATTGGTACGAAAGAACGATATGTCAACAAAAAAAACAAGCAATCTGGTGGTGGTAGAAGCTGCTCACCTCCCAAGACATGGTCCACTCGGCGTACATTTGGTACACCAAATCACTCAGATGCACCACCAGTTCTTCTACAACTACTTTTTCATCTTCCACCGGAGGCAATGGTCCCGTGGCGGATGGAATTGCCTCTGTTCTAGTCGTTCGTTTTTGGAACCGAAATTCGTGAGGACATCTTGTGGAATACACGTGGTCCGCTGGTGATCGACGTGGGTCATGTAGGCAATGTTGGTAATTGAGTCTTGTAAAAACCTCATCCGCAGGATTCTCGGTTCTCAAAAACCTGGTAGGTTTATTCAAGACTCCGCTGGTCTGCAAGATTTGGACAATGGGAAGAATGGGAAGCAGAGTTCAAGAGAGCGGTCGTGAGTTTCATTGCTCGAGTGATTTGAATATGTATCTACTCACTGTCACTGTACGCGTCTCCGGCAGAGCTGCCATGATTCAACCTGTTAAACGCGTCGTCGATTTGAGGAAAGAAAAGAAAGAAAAGCTTTTTTTTTTTTTTTTTTTTCAGTGCGAAGTTGCTTCATTGCATATTACACTTTCTGAACAGTACACAAAGGAGACTAGTACACCAGAGAAGTAGGTCATCTAGTCAAGTACAAGAATTAGTGGTGCCTGTAGATCTTTACACAATATAGATAGTCATCTTTCTTCTTCTTTTTTTTTTTTAAAAACATAAAGAGACACAGTGACAATGTGGTTCGCATACTCATCCCCAATCTAAGGTGGAAGGTAAGGAGTCCAGGGATTGTTTGTTAGTCGGGGATGTTTACCATTCGCGACGGTTCTCTCGAACTTTTCCTACTAATGCAGGGAATCGAGCAGCAGTGACAGTATAGTTACGCAGACTCATCCCCAATCTAAGGTGGAAGGAAAGGTCAACTAATACGTGTATGTTCTGTCGTGGATTGTTTACCAATCTTGACTATGCTCTGATATGCATTTACAGTGACATCATACCGTGTTATCCAAGAACTTTCCGTTTTGGAAAGGGTGGATCGTGGCGTTAATGTGTGATGAGGGTTCCTGTTTTGTGATTACCGCGCATTCTGCTCACCACACGTCCCCCAATTTAAGGAAGGAGGTGGGGCATCCTGCTTGTCGGGTTGGTAATTTAATCGATGATGGACTATGTAGATTATTGTGGATTATCGGACCCCTAATTTTTGCCTCGCAACCTCTTCTCATGATGTTGCTCCTGCAAGAACGAGCGGAAAAACATAAATCTTTTAGTTTGTAAAATGTATTCGGATAATAGAAAGAAAGCCTGGGGAGAATCTAATAATTTCCTGGCATTATTCCAGTTTACTCTGATCTCTTCCTTCCTCAATTTGGTTCTAAATTTCTTCCTCGCGTTTTTATATCGGCTGCAGTATAATAAAAAATGTTCAGTTGACTCAGTTAGTTTGCAACGGCTGCACAGTGGGGATTTGGTCAGTTTCCTTTTAAAAAGATGTGCATTAAGTGGGCTATGTCCTGCTTGTAGTTG